ATGCTTACAACAAAAACATTGGAAGTCTGCTGCTTTAAAGGAACACAGTGGTGACGCTGTGTGGGGATGTTCACGCTCAGGCATGAATGTCCTGGTTGAGTCCCCGATGCTTGCTTGGTGCCACAAAGACGCATACGGGACATCCGCACGCAGAGGAGACGGCCATGGGACCCGGCCTCTCCCCGCCTGCACCCCTCCTTCCCTCCAAGTCTGGCATGGGCTTGGAATGTGTAATTACAGCCTACAGGGCAAATTAGAACAGGGAGTAAACTCTTTCCCCGACCACAGAGAACAGGGTAGTGTTTGGGGAGGGAACTGCCACAGAGCAGCAGTAGAGACCATGTGTGTGTGTGCGCGCGTGCGTGTGTACACGTGTGTATATGTGTGTGTGTACGTGTGCATTGGTGTGTACACATGCCTGGATGATGTGGTGTGCAAGGAATCCAGGGTTAGGATCCAGGGGCCATTTGCTCCCTTGGTGGCCCCTCAGAGCCTCAGTTTCCTCAGCTCTAAAATGGAGCAGCAGCCGGGCTTTGCTCACCAGACTCTGGGGGACCAACCAAGGGCGAGGCTGGAAGGGTGTTGGTGAGTTTCGATGGGTGGTGAATGCCAGTCTGTAGTCTTACCGGTGTGTGCATGGGGAGGGGTCGGGCAGGACAGGTACACTGGGACTGTGTCATAATGGTGAGGATGATGATTTTCCAAATACTTGATAGGTGCCCAAGAGACACCCGACCTGCCGAGGGTCACAGCAGCCCTACGGGACGGACGGTGTGATGCAGCCTCATTCTGCAGGTGGGGAGCTAGGCTCCAAGACTTGCCTGAGCTGGTAGCAACAATCCTTACCTCCAGGGCTGTTGTGCAGCTTGAACACGGTACTCTTAGGGCTCAGTGTGGTGCCTGGCACCCAGGCTGTGCCCAGTCAGTGGAGGGTAGGGTGGCCCCGGTGCTGCAGACAGCTGGAGAGCCTGCACCGCTAACCTGCCCTGCGGCCTCTACTTCCTCGTCTGCAGAAGGGGTTCTAGCAGTGCCCACCTGCAGGACAGGGTTCTGGAACCTCCGCACTATAGACCGTTTGGTCCGGATCAGTCCTTATGGGGGGGACTGTCCTTGCATCACAGGATGTTCGACAACATTCCTGGCCTCAACCCACTAGGTGCCGGTAGCCCTCTCTTCCCTGCACATGGGACATTGTCCTCAGACATTGCCGGGTGTCTCTGGGGAGCAGAAGGGGCCCCACTGGGAGCTGCTGGACTAGGGTTGTGGTGAGAATCCGGGGAGCATGCATGTGGGCAGCATGTAGGCCGGGGCCTGGCACCGAGTGGAAATGACAGAATCTTGAGAATGGTGGAGGTTTATTTCACAATTATGATTTCATCATAATTAAGATGCTAAGAATGATCACTGTGCCTTGCCCAAGGCTACGAGCAGCCAGTGAGCGGCTGGGCGGCAGTTTGAACCTGGGGCAGGCTGACAGCAGACCTGCAGTTGGGGGGCCCCCAGAAACCCTGAATGCTGCCTGGGTGGGGCTCCCTTAGGGGAGGGAGTGCATGCATAGGTGGGGGGGGTGGTTTGGAGGGGCCCTCCCAGCTGCCTCCTCTGGCCTCGGGAGCTCGCTGAGGTGAGGGTGTCCATGAGGCCCTGTCGCAGTTAGGAAGGGACTGTGGCTTGGGAAGGACCATGGAAATTAGGAGGGTGTGTACAGCGGAGGCGTGTGCCCAACAACTCCCCTCCTGGACCTTGCGGTCCTCAGTGAAGGGGACAGGGCTGTTCCTAGGGTGTCTACTTTTCCCACTCAATGCTTATATCCCCAACAGACACTCCTTCCTGCCTCAGCATGCCCCCCGCATTTCTGCAGAACAAAGCCCAAAGTCATATGGCAGCTGCTGGGGGACAAGGGTCCAGGTCTCCCTGTCCCACCTGGCTGGTCGATGGGAGCTACGTCTACGAGATGCCAGCACTGAGTGGGTGCTTCAAATTCCTGAGGTCCCTGGCACTCCCAAGCACTCTAGGAGGAGGCGTGGTGGGCCAGCTTCACAGGTGGGGAAGACCGAGGCCCAGGGAGAGTGATTTGTCCAAGATCACACAGCTGCTCGTTACCAGGGGCAGGAACCATGTATCTGATGGCAGAACCTGTGCTTCTAACCCTGCCCTTTGATTATAATCCTTGGCAGCCCCCACTTCAATCCCAGGATCAGTACTGGACGTGCCTGATCCCATTTAGTTCTTCCTGCAAACCTATGTAAAAGCTACTGCAATTGTACCCACTTTACAGGCGAGAAAACTGAGGCTCAGGTAGCTAAAGTGATAGGTAGATAACAGAGCTGGGATTGGAGCTCAGGCCTGAATGACTTAAAAGTTCAGATTCTCCTTCCACATTGATGCCCAAAGGGGTCGAGTCCCCAGCAGGAGCTCTGACATCTGTGTGCCCCGCTGTGCCCGCCAAGAGAGGCCTCTTGCGTTCCCCACCTTTCTGGCTGGAGCTCCCCTCCTTGGAGCCACTGAACAAACAAGGTGGGAACCAGTATTTGCCCCTCTGCTAATGTGTTGGGCGGGAGGGAAAACAGCAAAGGGGACTTCTCAGACATTTCCCCGCTCCCTGGGTGGGACGGTGGAGTTCCAGGAAACTGGCCCTCGGTGCCCAGCCCTGCCTGCCCAGCGGACTGCTGCTGAGGGCAGGGGGCTGCCGGCCAGCCAGCAGGGCCTTGCCCCTCCCTGCCCATGCTCCTGGCTAAACGTTGGGCTTGGAGCTGGAGAGACCTGGGTTCAAATCCAGCTCTTCTCCCTCCGAGCTGTGACAGCCCCTCTTTTATTTATTTATTTTCATTTTTAAAAGAATTTTTTTTTTCTGGGGAGGGAAGGGGAGTTATCCCTAGGAACGATTAAAAAAAATTCATTGGGCCTTGGCCGGTTTGGCTCAGCGGTTAGAGCGTTGGCCTGTGGTCTAGAGAGACCCGGGTTCGGTTCCCGCTAAGGGCACGTACCTCGGTTGCAGTTTGTCCCCGGCCCTGGTTGGGTTGTGCGGTTGGTAGCCACTCGATGTGTCCCTTTCACGTCGATGTTTCTTTCTCTCTCTCTCTCTTCCTCTCTCTCCCTCCCACTCTATCTAAACAAAAAGTGGAAAAATGTCCTCAGGTGAGGATAAAAAAAAAAAAAATATTGGGAGGGAGGGAAGGGATAAACCACAGAACTTATATGCATGTATGCATAACCGATGGACATAGACAACAAAGCTGGGGACGGGGTGGGGGATGGGGAGGAGGGTGTCAATGGGGGGGGGGAGAAACATCTGTAACAAATTTAAAAAAAAGAAAAAATTTATTGATTGAATTTATAGAGAGGGAAGGAAGAAGATAGAGAGAGGGAAACATTGATTTATTGTTCTACTTATTTATGCATTCATTGGTTGCTTCTTGTATTTGTCCTGACCAGAGATTGAACCTTAAACCTTGATGTATCAGATGACACATTAACCAACTGAGCTTACCAGGCCAGGGCTCTTAAATAATTTTCTATTTTTTAATTACAGTTGACATACAATATTACATCAGTTTCAGGTGTACAACCTAGTGATTAGACATTTATGTAACTTACTAAGTGATCACCCTGATAGAACTAGTAGTCATCTGGCACTGTACATAGTTATTACAGTAGTCAGTCATTTGTATTGTATTATTGTATTACCATCATACTGTAGGGAATATTGACTATATTCCCTATGCTTACTTTACATCTCTGTGACTATTCTGTAACTACCAATTTGTACTTTTTTTTTAATCCTCACCTGAGGACATTTTTCCATTTTTTGTTCAGATAGAGTGGGAGGGGGAGAGAGAGAGAGAAAAACATCAATGTGAAAGGGACACACTGAGCAGCCGCCACCCACACAGCCCAACCAGGGCCGGGGACAAACTGCAACCGAGGTACATGCCCTTAGTGGGAACCGAACCCGGGTCTCTCTGGACCGCAGGCCGACGCTCTAACCGCTGAGCAAACTGGCCACGGCCCAATTTGTACTTCTTAATCCCCTCACCTTTTCACCCATCTCCCCAACCCCCCTCCCTTCTGGCAACAGTCACAATGTTCTCTGTATCTATGAGTGTGACTACTTCACTAGAAACTGGTTTGCTCATCTGAGGAGTGGGAACAAGTAATACCTTTATCACCAGGCCATCTGTCCATGGGGCATCCTTCTGGGTGTTGGGGACGCAGGAGTGAACAAGGCATGCAGCCTGGGAATGAGCTAATCCCATGTGGTCAGGGAGGGCTTCCCAGAGGAAGGGACAGTTGAGATGGGAAGAGACAGATGAGGGTTAACCAGGCAAAGAGGGTCGGGGAGGGCTCAGCACCGGCCCTGGGGACAGAGTTTGTGCCTGGGGGTCGTCAACCACAGTCTGGGAACCTTGCTGTCTTGTTCTGGGAAATGGGGACCTGAACGATGGCTCTAGGTGGGGAAACCGAGGACTCCTGGGTTCCCACGGATTTTCTGAGCACCGACTGTGCCCGAAGCGTGGCGTTCACGGTTCTGTTTTCATGGGTGTTCACTGTGTGGCAGGCCCTGCACTTTGACCTCCCCATTTACGGGTGAAAACCCCGGGCTGTGCAGCGTGGGCTGGCGCGTGGTCACAGTTGCTCAGTGTGGAGCCTGGCTCGGAACCCTGCTCTGTGGGGCTCCGAAGCTGGTTGGGTTGGTCAGGAGTGATCCTCAGCTCCAGGTTTGGGGTCCCAGGGCGACTCAGAGGCCCTTCCTCCTCCAGCTCACGCCCAGGGTAGCTGGACCCGAGGCCGCTCGCGTTTCCAGGTCTTTGAAAGAGGCTCCTGTCGCAGCTCCTGCCTGGGGCTGGCGCCAACCACATCGGGGAGTGGCCAACCCGCACCCGTCATTACAAGGGTGGCTTTGAAGCGGCTGGCAGCGAGGCTGTTTGCCCACGTGGGAGGGGGCTTCCTGGGGCCCCACCACGGGCCTGGCTCCGCCTGACTCTCCTCCTGTTCGCTTGCAGGCCCAGCAGTGCAGCCGGGTCCGGGGTCAGCATGGCGGATCCCAGCGAAGGCCCCCGCACGGGAGCTGGGGATGTGGCCGAGCCCCCCGGGGAGGAGAGCGGCACCCCTGGTGGGGAGGCCTTCCCCCTCTCTTCGCTGGCCAACCTGTTTGAGGGGGAGGACGGATCCCCCTCGCCCTCACTGGCGGCTGATGCTGGTCGCCCCACCAGTGCAGGCGATGGGCGACCCAACCTGCGCATGAAGTTCCAGGGCGCCTTCCGCAAGGGGGTGCCCAACCCCATTGACCTGCTGGAGTCCACCCTGTACGAGTCCTCGGTGGTGCCCGGGCCCAAGAAGGCACCCATGGATTCGCTCTTTGACTACGGCACCTATCGTCACCACCCCAGTGACAACAAGCGGTGGAGGAGGAAGGTCTTGGAGTGAGTATTGCTGGCTGCCTGGCCAATGGTCTCCGCCTCTGCACTGAATCCACACCCACCCATCCATTTATTCATCATCATCCACCCACCCACCCACCCACCCAGCTGTCCATCCTTCCAAATACTTGTCTGTTCATCCATCCATCCATCCATCCAGCCAGCCAGCCAGCTAGCTACCTGTCTTTCCACCTGTCCATCCACTTGTGCAGTCCATCTGTCCATGATCATTCAATATCTATTTACTCATCTATTTATCTGTCATCTATTTGTCCGGCCCTCCACTCATACACTGGCCTTCCATTCATCCATCACGTCTTCATCCATCCATTCACCCTCTCATCTACCCACTGTCTCTGTTCATCCAACCAGTCAGTTATCTATCAAACTGTATTCATCATTCATTCATTTCTAATATTTTTCATATTTGTCTCTTTCCCTCCCTTCTCTTCTCTCCTTCCTTCCCCGCTTTGTTCCTTCCTTCTTTTCCTCTTCCTTGACCTGCTGGAGTCCCTTCCTTCCATCCATTTGTTCATTTGCTCAGTCATTTGCTCAGTCACTGACTCACTCATATTTTCATTCATTTTCTCATCTCTCCATCCATCCATCCATCCATCCATCATCCATCCATCCATCATTCCATCCATCCATCCATCCATCCATCCATCCATCCATCCATCCATCTATCCATCTACCTTCTCCTGATGGCACACACCTCACCTGTCCTTCCTGGGTCTTCTCCAAGTGTCACCTTAATTCCTGGGCATCTGGTGGCTCTCCTGGGCTTGGGGAGAGTTGAAAACTCCGAAGAGTTAGCCCTTTCTCTTCCATAAAGGAACCTGGCTAAAGAAGAGGAGAGTAGAGCGGAACCACTGGGAGGGGTAACAGCACATGGCCATCTGAGTGATGCGGTCCATGCGAGGCCTCGCTCCAGTCCCCGAGCTCCAGTCCCCCACATCCCTCCCATCATGGGTTCTGCTGAGCTGGGTCCTGCAGTTTAGATGCCAGAAAGAGGCATCTCGTTGGCATCGCCCCGTGGTTCGTGTGGCATTCTGCAGACCTGGGCTCCCAGGGTTCTGTTTCCAGCCTGTTCCTGGTTCAGCCACCTGCAGACCCACTGCCTTAGGAGGCTGAGCTCTCATTCCTGGTCCTTTAGGAAGTCCAAGGAGTTCCCCAAGCTTTTGGCAATTCGGGGCGGGGGCGGGGTGGGGGGCTGACAACAGTCTCATCGGCACAGCCACTCCCGGCCTCTGCACCCGAGGAACCAGTGCAGTTTATGATCCTTTCTTGGTCCGGACCCTGGTGTTGCTAATGTGTCCTGAATGACCCGGACTTGGAGACCAGCCCCTTCCCTTGACTTTTTCCTTCATCAGCTACTCATCAATTCATCCAACTACCCATCTTTTCTGCCTGTCCATCCGTTTGTCCAATCCATCCATCCATCATCGTTCATTCAAATATCTATGCATCTATGCACCTGTCATCTGTTGGTCCAGCCTTCCACCCATGAAAACCCCTGGACACTCCTCTCAGGCCCGTGCGTGTGTCTGGAGGACTGTCGTGAAGTCTGGAGCTGTCTGTCCTGTTGTCGCTGCTCCTCCTCTGTCCTCCTTGCTGATCACGGTCTCATTTATGGCCTGTGTGCAGCCCATGACCTTCTCGGCCCTCGCTTGATCAGGAGCAGTCCCCTTTATTTACTTACTGAGTCACTGATTCATTCACTGGCTGTTTCTCAAGCACCACCATGTGCCAAGGTTGGCCCTGGGGCTCCAGGGATGAGCTAGACCTCATATGCCCCTACTCAGGTGGCATCTTCCCTTTGGAGAGTGAGACAGGCAATAAGCAAGTAAATAAGCATGTAAATATACAATCTGAGTTGGGGGAGGGGCTAAGGTAGGAGATGGGAGTTGATATAGGAAAGGCAGTCCTGGAGGGCTTCTTGGAGGAGCTGACATTTAAGCCCGAAGCTAGGGGATGAGAAAGGGCAGCCACACAGGGGGAAAGTGTTCCAAGGGGAGGGAAGTGCATGTACAAGGGCGCAATGCTGGAGAGTCGTGATGTGTTTAAGGAGCAGGGGCTCATAGATGTCCGCACAACCTCTGCTCAGAGGTGGAAACAGACCCGGGGCAGCAAAATGCTATCCCTCCGAGGCCCTGTTGGAAGCTGGTGGGCTCTGTGTCTCCCCTTCCCCTCTCTCAGACCCCCTCCTTCAAGCCCCAGGCAGTCCAGGCTAGTGGCTTTGGAGAGGCGGTAGAGGAACTGGGATGTGGCCGAGTGGCTGAAGTCCTCAGGGACCCCGAAGGCCACCTCAGTGAGGTCTGAGGGTGAGGGTGTTCTTTTCACTTCATACTTTGGCTCAAAGGTCAAAGTTCAGGAGCAGATTAAATGGAGGTGGTGTAGGTGCCATCTCTGCCACTGCCCACTGCCCACTGCCGGTCCCGGCCCCGGCGCCCCTTCCCTCTGGTCTGTCTCCTCTGTCATGCACACTCTGCTCCCCTCCTCTCTCCTCTTCTCCCCACGAGTCTCTGCCAGTCTTTCTTACTGAGCCTCCATGCACCAAGCACACAGTAGGTGCTAAATAATAACAGCAGTACCAGCTAACATTTACAGTGGTGGGCCTGGAACGAGGCACCTGTGTGTGTGGCCTCATCTGCCTCAACTGTTTGTTGAATGAATAAGTTAACGAGTGAGTGGTTGAATAAACGAACGAGTCACTTTGTCTTTTAGTCTGGTGTTCCTTCTTTATTCTCTCGCTGCCTCTGTCTCTTTCAGTCTTTGTCTGGCTCCGTGAGTATTCAGTGAATGACAGTGGAAGGGTGGACAGACAAACGGATGGATGGGCAGGCTTGTGTGTTTCTCTCTGTCCGTCTTTCTCTACCCCAAACACAGTAGGTACTAGGTAGAGCGTGTTGGATGAAACATTCCTCTGTTTCTCCAACTGTCCCTCCCCTCTTAGTCTGGTTTGTCCCTAGGGCTCTGGCCGTCCCCCCAGGGATGGTGGGGTGGGCAGGGGACAAGCCTCCTATCACCCTGCCTTCCCCACTTCAGGAAGCAGCCACAGAGCCCCAAAGCTCCTGCGCCCCAACCGCCCCCCATCCTCAAAGTCTTCAACCGGCCCATCCTCTTTGACATCGTGTCCCGGGGCTCCACCGCTGACCTGGACGGACTGCTCCCCTTCTTGCTGACCCACAAGAAGCGCCTGACTGATGAAGAGTTTCGGGGTGAGCCATCCAGGTGGGGGTAGTGAGCAGGCGAGCCAGAGATGGGGGAGGCATGGCATTGGGGGGTCCCTTGTTCCCTCGGCATCTTCCGCTGGGTCAGCACTGGCTGGAAAGAGCACTGGACAGGGAATCTGGTCCTGTGTGTCTTTCACCATATTACTTAACCTCTCTGGGCCTTTGCTATTTTATTCCTTCATATATTCAGCCTTTATTTATGAAAACGTCAGTGTAGCCCAGCTGGGTGGCTCAGTGGATTAAGTGTCATGCAATGGACTGGAAGTCTCAGTTGGATTCCCGGTCAGGGCACAAGCCCGGGTTGCAGGCTCGATTCCCCGTAGGGGGCGTGCAGGAGGCAGCCCATCGAGTTTCTCGCACAGTGATGTTTCTATCGCTCTCTCCTGTCTTCTCTCTCTAAAAAAATCAATGAAAACATTTAAAAAATTCCCTGGCCAGTTTTTGTCAGTGGTTAGAGCGTCGGCCTGTGGTCCAAAGAGACCCGGTCAGTTCCCGCTGAGGGCACGTACCTCAGTTGCAGTTTGTCCCTGGCCCTGGTTGGGTCATGCGGGAGGGGGCCTCTCGGTGTATCCCTTTCACATTGATGTTTCTCTCTCTCTCTTTCTTCCTCTCTCTCCCTCCCACTTTATCTGAACAAAAAATGGAAAAATGTCCTCGGGTGAGAATAAAAAAAAAAAAAAAGAAAGAACGTCAGCATAGTAGGTAAGCAGAGTTCACCTACCTGGGTTCAAATCCCCCTCCACCCCTTAAGGGATGTGTGGCCTCCCTGGGCCTCAGTGTCCTCATCTGTAAACTGGGGAATGATAATAGCATAGTCCTGGCCTCTGAGAAGAGAGAATTCCATAGTGCTGAGCACAAAGCAGCTGGGGTTCTGGGGAGCCCCTCCTCCCTCTGAGGGGAGCGCTGGGGTGCAGCAGGTCTCCCAGGCTCTGCCCCACCCCCGCCAGCTTCCCTCCCTAGGCTGAAGGCCCAGTCACCACTGCCCGGGGCTCCCCCAGCCCAGAGAGCTCCCCCTCCAGTCTTGTCCAGGCCCCAAAAACCTCAGGTTAGCAGCTCCCTCAGCCGCCCCTGTAAGCCCAGGAAGAGCCTGTGACCCCTCGACCCAAGTCAGCCACCTGCTGTGTCTGGTACCAGGTGACCAAACAGTCCACAAATCAATATAAAATGTCAAGAAGTGTGTTACCTGCTACAAAGGAGGGTCTGTCTCAGGAAGGTGGGCCACGGTCTACAGCGTGGGGCTGTCGAAGCTTCAGGGAGGTCAGAAGGGGCCATTTTTTGAGACTTCGGTACTTTAACTAAACCAAGTGCCAAAGCGGGGTGACCGAACCTGCAGTATATGAGTCACACATACCTTTATCATCCTGATTCTTTGAACACCCAAACAGTGCAATGCAATATCATTGGGTCTGTCAGAAATAGAAAAATTTAAGATTTATAAATTACCACATTTATAAAAAGTAATCATTCAGTCTAGCCGGTGTGGCTCAGTGGTTGGGCATTGACCCATGCACCAAGAGGTCGCCGGTTCGATTCCTGGTCAGGGCACATGCCCAGGTTGTGGGCCCGATCCCCAGTGAGGGGCATCCAGGAGGTGGCCAATCGATGTTCTCTCTCATCGATGTTTCCATCTCTCTTTCTCTCTCACTTCCTTTCTCTCTAAAATCAATAAAGGAGAAAAAAAAGTAATCATTCATGGTGCCAGTGAGACCGTGTTGCCTCGTTGGGGCACATGCCTAGAGGGTCTCAGTGGCAGATAATCTCTCTGGAGGTCACCCACATAGAAGCCCTGGACAAATGGCCCCTCCTGCCTCCCCAAGTTCATTAGGCAAAAGTGGGGAGCGTTGGGGCAGAGTGAACCCCTGGGAAAGGGGGACCTTGGGGCTTATGCCTCCAGCAGACAGACCAGCGCCATGGAAGGCTTGCTTTCTGGCTTCTCCTGAGTTGGGGTCCCTTAGCCAAGGCTGGGAACCCCCAGGCCATGAGCATGGGCAGGGGACTCTAAGTAGGGGGGTGTCCCTGAAATTGTACAGAATAGTGCGTGTATAGAGGGGGACTCACCCTGAGGCCCATTAATTAAGCTTCAGAGCTCACTTGCTCTGGCCCCTTCTAAGGCTCTGTACCTCACTTGGAATTCATAACTGTGTGTGTGTTTTCATAAACAAGACCTCCAAGTTGTATAATCTCGGGCCCCACAAAACCTGGATCTGCTCCTGCATGTTTTTCCAGACAGAGGCTCATGAGCTCATCTTTGACTCCCCTCCGCCACCACCAAAGTTTGACAACCTCCTTAAACCTAGGGCCCCTGCCCTGGCCGGTTTGGCTCAGCGGTTGGAGCGTCGGCCTGCGGTACAGAGAACCTAGGGCCCCTGCTCCAGCAGCCCTGTGGGCGGAGCCACTTCGCCACCTGGTGGTCCAGTCTGGAATTGCGTGTTCCATTTCTGTGAAGGCACTCTTGGCATCTCTTCCCAGGACCCAGGCTGGCACCCTCCAACCCCACGATAGCCTAGATCTGGGGATGTGGAAGCCCAAATCCAGGGTCTAGTGCCATGCTTTACACTTTGGGTTACCTGTGGCTTGCAATTACCTGTGATGCCCAGCTCACCTGTCATTGAATGTTTGCTAACTTCTTGATCACCTACCATATGTAAGGTGGCACATTTAGCATCGGGTGCACAGTGGTGGGCAAAGCAGACATGACCTGTCCTCAAGTTGCTCACAGTCCTGGGCGAGACCAACATTGATCAAACAATCACAGAAACAAATGCACAGTTACAAACTATAATGTGTGTCAATAAGAGGCTGTCTTGGAGGATTTGTCCTAGTTAGGGAAATCTGGGAATGCTTCCTGAAAGAGGTGACACTTGAGCTGAGTCTGGAGGAGTTGCAATTAACCAGGTGAAAAGAGGAGGAGGGACAGCATGTGCAAAGGCCCTGTGGCTCACTGTGATCAGTTATACTTGAATTACACTCCAGCTGCTATGTGGAAAGTGGATTGAAGGAAATCAGAGAGGCTGGTAGAAACCAGGCAGGTACCTTGGGCAGGCTAGAGAGATGATGTCTGGGCTAGGGTGGTGGCAGTAGAGATGGAGATTGGTGGAGGGATTGGAGAAATAGGAAGTAAAATCAATAAGACATGCTGGGGTGGAGGTGGGGAAGAAGGGAGGACAAGGACAAGAGTGATGCAAAGGTTTTTGTCTGACCATCCTCGGAGAAGGGGACATATGCAGGCTGGGAGTGGAATTGGGGAGGGAAAGAAGGTGAGGTTTGCATGGAGAGTTGTGAATTGCCTGACAGTTAGAAAGTGACTGTGGCCACCTGGAGGTTAGAACTGAGTGGAGGTGTGTCTGGACAGAATTCCCAGGGGCCTCGGCCAGCATTGGGGCAGATGGGGAGCTGGAGTCCATTATTCATTCAAGAAATTGTTACCTGGTGTTGACTCTGGGTTGGGCTCCAGAGGTGCAGCAGGGAGCAGCCAGGAATGAGGCTCGTCCAACTAACCTCACTCTTGGGGGCACTGGGACAGGAATTCAGGCCTCTGCGAGTCTTTCACTTTCTCCCCACTGACTCCTGGCCTCTAGGGCGAGGTTTCTTTTTTTTTTTTTTAATCCTCACCCGAGAACTTTTTTCCATTTTTTGCACAGATAGAGTTGGAGGGAGAGAGAGGAAGAGAGAGAGAGAGGGAAACATCGATGTGAAAGGGACACATCGAGTGGCTGCCACCCGCACGACCAACCAGGGCCGGGGACAAACTGCAACCGAGGTACATGCCCTTAGCAGGAACCGAACCCGGGTCTCTCCGGACCGCAGGCCGACGCTCTAACCGCTGAGCCAAACTGGCCAGGGCTAGGGCGAGGTTTCTAAAGCACCTCCCGTGGAATAACTGTAACAGTAATATATATATTTATATATTTTAAAATATGTTTTTATTGATTCTTTTAGAGAGAGAGGAAGGGAGAGAGAGTTAGAAACATCGATGTGAGGGAGAAACATCAATTGGCTGCCTCCTGCACGCCCCCTACTGGGAATCGAGTCCTCCTGGGACGATGCTCAATCCACTGAGTCACACCGGGCCTGCTGCAACAGTAATATCTATTGAGGATCCCTATCTGCCTGGTGCTGGGCTCATCAAACATCTGTTAGCTCATTGATTTCCCTGTGTGGCCTCAATTTAGCTAGAAAGGAAACTGAAGCGGAGGAAAGTCTGCACAGAAATTGGGAGCAAAGCCAGATGTGAAGCCCAGAGGGGGCACCCAGTCCACATCTGCCTCCCTCTCCCACTCCTGGTCCCATTCTTGCATCGGGCCATTCCCGAGCCCCCAACACAATCTTCCCACGTGCCTGATTCACAGCAGAGTTCTCTTTTCATGGGCTCATTCTTTTAAGGTATAAATCAACTCATAACCATAAAAATTCATACAAGGGAAAGAAAATTGCAAAGGGACATTAGTAAGTGTTAATGGCAGGTGTTAAGGACCCATTAGTACCAGAGACTGACTTTATGAGAGATTTGACAATGGGATGACACCTTGCTTATGGTGTTATTATTGCTGCCTCTGTGGAACCCCCCAAAGTCCTCTCCCTTTTCTCCGAAGGTAATTCACATCCACTGTGGTAAGCAGTCCACACTTTGGGGGACCCTGCACTTCCTCTGCTCCCCTCTGGGGCACTAGTGTAAATGATTCGTGGGAAAATAATCTGTATTTAAATAGGTGGGCACAGGCTACCTGCGGTGTCTGGCTTTCAGAAGTTCATAGCCCTCACTAGCATATTAAAGGCTCTGAGAAGTCCTGTAGTAAGGACCCATGGTTGGCTTTTTTAGCCCTGCATTTCCCCTATCTGATTTTTAAAATTCCCTCTAAATCTGCTTTGGTAAATACCAATCTCGATAGGCTGCGGCTTCCCAGATTTTTTTTTAATCCTCACCTGAGGATATTTTTCTATTTATCTTCAGATAGAATTGGAGGGAGAGAGAGGGAGAGAAAGAGAGACAAACATCGATGTAAGAGGGACACATCAACTGGTTGCCTCCTGCACCACCCCGACCAGGGCTGGGACGAACTGCAACCGAGGTATGTGTCCTTGCCTGGAACCGAACCCGCGACTCATTGGTCCGTGGGCCAACACTCTAACCGCAGAGCTAACCGTCCAGGGTGCAGCTTCCCACATATTAAAGAACTTCAGCCCCTCTGAGTTTATTTGACCTCCAGCTCCATGGGGGACAGATAGGGACCAATCTCAGGAGGCGCGACAGAGTCACGAACTCTGGCTCCCTGCCCAGTGCCGTCTCCTGCTGCCTAGCACCCTCATCCTGTACGTCTGTCCTGCCAGAGCCGTCCACAGGGAAGACCTGCCTGCCCAAGGCCCTACTAAACTTGAACAATGGCCGTAACGACACCATCCCCTTGCTTCTGGACATCGCCGAGCGCACTGGCAACATGCGAGAGTTCATCAACTCGCCCTTCCGGGACATCTACTACCGAGGTGGGGCCCCGAGTGGGTTGGGAGTGATGTGGGGGTGGCAGTGGGGCACCATCCTCACTTTTCTGACCTCCGAGAGCTTCGGCCTGGGCCCCAGGTGCCAGCATGTACCTAGAAACCGATGGTTGAATGAATGAATCAATGAACAAACTCTGATATCCTGCGTTTCAGAATCAAAGGTGCCAAGATTCCGAGATGCACTGAGCCTCGTGTCCATGAACTTGGAATTCTGGACCTAAGGTGCTGTGGTTCCGGGCACACTAAAGCTATGATGTTAGTTCTTTGAGCCAACAGTGTTGAGAGACAAAGTGTCACGAGTCCCAGCTCCTGGGTCTAAATTCTGAGATTCTGCGAATCAGACTTGACCTTTCAGATTCCCGGATATGAAGATTCAAATTCCGTGAATTTTATATCCTGAGTTCAAAATTCTGTGAGACCGCGATGTGGGTGTTTCCTCTCATGAGTCTGAAAGTCTCCCACATCAGGGATCCTACGAGTCGGATGCCCTTTGAGCCTAGAATTCTGCTTCCCCGGCATAGGAGCGCTAGGACCTTGTGCGTCCGCAGTGCCACATCCAGGGAACGTCTGTCCGAAGGTCCATTGCTGCCCTTCGGAGCAGCCAGCCAGGGCCCTCCCCCGATTTCCACACTCTGCACCCACCTGCTCCAGGACAGGTCTGGTCTCTGCGCCGGAGCCCTGGTGACTGTCCCTCTGCTCCCTGCAGGTCAGACCGCCTTGCACATCGCCATCGAGCGCCGCTGCAAACACTACGTGGAGCTCCTCGTGGCCCAGGGAGCCGACGTCCACGCTCAGGCCCGGGGGCGCTTCTTCCAGCCCAAGGACGAGGGGGGCTACTTCTACTTTGGTGAGAAAGCCTGGTAGGGACTGGGAGGTACATGGTAGTCTCTACAGCCCTGACCCCTCCCCAAACACCCAGGGCTCAGAGGGTGCCCTGTACACAGGCCATGTGTCGGTCTTGATCACTGAGTCCTTGTCTTTGAGGGGTAGAGCATCACCTCACTTCCCTGAGCCTCAGCTTCCCCATCTGTGCAATGGGAATCCCGGTGGGTGTCAGCACCCCGCACCTTTTCATATACATCCTTCAGTCCAGTGTACGCTGGGGCCAGCGGTCAGATTGCGGGGCGCACACTTCATCACCACCATGTCCCAGTCGGAGCAATGAAAGTTTGAATAAAGTCATGCTTAAAGGCATGTGGCTCAGTGGTTGAGCGTCAAGCCATGTGCCAAGAGGTTGCCAGTTCGATTCCCGGTCAGAGCACATGCCCAGGTTGTGGGCCCGATCCCCAGTGGGGGGCATGCAGGAGGCGGCCAATCAATGTTCGCTCTCATCGATATTTCTATCTCTCCCTCTCCCTTCCTCTCTCTCTAAAATCAATAAAGAAAAAAAATTTTTTTTAAAGGCATGTATTATGTGGGGTTCAGGGACAAAGTCCCTCACAGCCTCCAAACTGCACGGCCATGCCCCCAAACAGCTACACCCCGTCTTCCCAGCATCACCCACAGACACGTGAGGTCACCACAGGACACCTTCCCACTGTTGGTGCTGTGTCCAGGATCACAGTGTCTGTCCCCTAAATATCTGCAGGCAAAGTCCCCTCCTGAACCCCCTTTACTTACCCCCGTCCACAGGTGAGCTGCCCCTGTCGCTGGCTGCCTGCACCAACCAGCCCCACATCGTCAACTACCTGACGGAGAACCCCCACAAGAAGGCGGACATGCGGCGGCAGGACTCCCGCGGCAACACCGTGCTGCACGCGCTGGTGGCCATCGCCGACAACACCCGCGAGAACACCAAGTTCGTCACCAAGATGTACGACCTCCTGCTGCTCAAGTGTGCCCGCCTCTTCCCTGACAGCAACCTGGAGGCTGTGCTGAACAACGATGGCCTCTCGCCCCTCATGATGGCTGCCAAGACGGGCAAGATTGGGGTGAGTGCAGGCAGGGGAGCACAGGTGGTCCACCCACTCCTGTTCCCCTGCGGACACACACACGTGCACACCGGAGGGGCTACTGCTGGCATTCATTATTATTAATACGCACAACCCCCTCTCATCATGCCAACCCCCGTGTGTAGATGTCCCAGCTCAAGAGCCTGCTGTGGCTCCCTATTGTCCAGCAAAACTACTCAACTTCATCCCAGAACCTCTCTCCTTGTCCCACCACTGGATGCTCACTGCCCCACTCCCACCAGCCAGAATAAGCCGCTGATAGAAACCTGAGCCCCGGGCTCCAGCCCTGCAGTACCTCTCTGCTGGGGCCTGGCTCGGTCCCTACCCTGCTGCATGGCCTCGCAGCACAGGTCTAGAGCAGGATTTCTCAGCCTCGGCACTGCTGGCATTCGGCGCTGAATGGTTCTGGGGTGAGGACTGTCCTGTGCACTGTAGGATGTTGAGTTGCATCCCTGGCCTTAACCTACTAGATGCCAGTAGCACCCTCCACCACTGTGACAACCAAAAATGTCACCAGACATTGCCAAATGGTGCCCTGGGGGACACTATTGCCCTGGTTGAGAAGCAAATCTGGAGTCAGGAGTGCCCGGGTCCAAGGCCTGGCTCTGCCACTTCCCAGTGTGTGACCTCAGGCATCCCACTTCTCCTGTCTGTGCCTTAGTTTCCTCATCTGTAAAATGGGGGTAGTAACAGTACCTTGTGGTATAGTGCTGGTCTGTCAGCTAAATGAGGTGATGTACTTAAAGCTCTTAATACAGAGCCTGGGATGCATAGTAAGTGCTCAATAAAACATAGGCATCATTATTAGTCTATTAAAAATAAAGCAAAAATTACTACAATTGCAATTTATACCAGAGTCCTGAGGCATTGGAAGAGGCCGGGTTTAAATTTTGGCTCTGGCCCTGGCCGGTTTGGCTCAGCAGTTAGAGCGTCGGCCTGCGGTCCAGAGAGACCCGGGTTCGGTTCCCGCTAAGAGCACGTACCTCGGTTGCAGTTTGTCCCCGGCCCTGGTTGGGTCGTGCGGGTGGCAGCCACTCGATGTGTCCCTTTCACATTGATGTTTTCTCTCTCTCTCCCTCTTTCTCTCTCTCCCTCCCGCTCTATCTGAACAAAAAATGGAAAAATGTCCTCGGGTGAGGATAAAAAAATAAATAAAAATAAACAAATAAATTTTGGCTCTGTCTTACTAAACTGCGTGGCCTTGGGCAACTGCCACCCGTCTCTGTTCCTCGGGTTCCCTGTGTGTACGCAGGAGTGGGACAGGAGGGGCTGGCATGCTAGTACTAGAGTTAACAGAGTAACGAGGTTATTTACTATTTTAATTACATGCAGATGATAGTCATGAAAACTCAGATTTCTAAGGCTAGCCTGGTTCAGTCTGGCTTCAGCGGAACCTGTGGGGCCTGAGAGAACTCCCTTCTTCCCTCCGAGCCTTTGTTTGCTCATCTGTAAACCGAGACAGTGAGGGGAAGACCGAGCAAGGTGATGTGAGGAAAGGGCCCGGCACACAGCACGTGCTCAGTAAATACTTTCCTCTCCCCCTGTCCTGCTCTCTGAACAGGTGCCATTTGATGGCCTGCACCTGGCCCCTGGGGTCCTCTCAATAATGCCCCTCCCCACGACCCCTGACCCTTCTATGCAGGTCTTTCAGCACATCATCCGACGGGAGGTGACGGATGAGGACACCAGACACCTGTCTCGCAAGTTCAAGGACTGGGCCTACGGACCCGTGTATTCCTCGCTCTATGACCTCTCCTCCCTGGATACATGCGGGGAAGAGGCCTCCGTGCTGGAGATCCTCGTGTACAACAGCAAGATCGAGGTGGGTGCCAGGGCAGGGGACAGGTTCTGGGAAAGGAGGCTCAAAGCAGGGAAGGTGACTATGGGCCCAAATCAGTGGGTCTGTGGGCTGAGTGCAAAAGAAGGTGCCAACTAAATGCCCAGAACGATGCCTGGCACTGGGGGCGTGGGGGGGGGGTGAAAGGGTTGTAAGGGCTGGGCCTCAGGGGCAGGCAGGACTGGGTCAGGATTCTGGCTCTATAAATTACATGCTCTGTGACTCAGGACAAGTGACTCAGCCTCTCTGAGGGTGAGGATGAGGCCAGTGTGTATCTCACGGGGCTGTTGGGAGGACTAGATGAGTTCACTGTAGAACAGCCTGGCACAGAGTAAACATTATGTGTCAGCTAGTCTCATTAGTAGATGTTATATGAAGTTTTGAAAGCTGTTTTTTTTCCCACTTAGCAGTATTTTGTGAACATTGTTCTGCACCATTAAATATTCTTCTGCAGTATCATTGCTGCGTGTAAATGTACCACATCCTAATGAACCATTTCTCTATTCTTGGTCGTTTGGGTTTGTTTCTGCCTTTAACTGTCAGGAGTAATATTGCAATAGCCTCTTTGTGGCTACATAGTTGCACAGATCCATGGTTATAAAGAAACTGGAGTCATTAGAGGGACAGGATGCTGTACAAATGGGGCAGAAGGTACCTGGGCCAGGGTGTGGAAGGTTTTCCTTCCAGCCCTGGCTCAGCCCAGCTTGGACAGATGCCTTCTCTTCCCTCATCCTGAAATTACTCACTGACTTGATTTCCATCAGGGGTGGCGGGAGGTTTAGCATCTCTGGTGCAAACTCGGATAGGTGGTTTCTGCCTGGGGAACTGTAGAGAGAACTATTGTGCAGGACTCGATTATTGATGTCTGCCCCAGGTTCATAATTGGAAACTTGTGGTTAGCCAAGGATTTATCATTCTCGGGCTAGATTCCCCAAACTTGCTTCCTGAATTAGACTTTCTGAGGTTGAAGCCCGGGGACTTTTATTTTTGGCAAGCTACGTAAGTGACTTTGCTGCCGGCAGCGGGGTGCCATCTGCAGACTGGAGTCTGGGGACCATGAGAATAGCCTCCCAGCTCTGGTTCTGGGAGTCTAGAATAGGCAGGAAAGGTAAGTTGGGGCAGAGCTGAGCAGAGCCCGGAATGCTGAGCCCAGGAGTCGGGGGCTGATTCTGAACGCCCCTCCACTCCCCTGTGAATCCTTGTGTCGCTGAGGAATGGCTTAGGAGGAGAAAGTGCTCTCAGGGTGGCGGGTGGGGGAGGGTGTATGGGGTCAGCCTGTCCCCAAGGAGGGTGGCCCCTGACTGCCCTGCCTCCTGTAGAACCGCCACGAGATGCTGGCAGTGGAGCCGATCAACGAGCTGCTGCGTGACAAGTGGCGGAAGTTCGGGGCTGTCTCCTTCTACATCAACGTGGTCTCCTATCTGTGTGCCATGGTCATCTTCACCCTGACTGCCTACTACCAGCCACTGGAGGGCACCGTGAGTGACCGCGAGCCGGGCAGGAGCAGGGACACAACTGGGCCCGCATGAGTCCCCTGTGGGAGGAACTAGAAAGGCTTAGGGGCGGGATGGGGAGGTACCTCCCCGACACCCACGGGGAGAGAAGGAGGGAGGAGGCTCCTGCGACCCCGATGTTGGGGATGTTGACGGAACATCTGGATCTGGCGCCAGATGTTGGTGGGGCTGGGTGAGGACCTGCGTGTCCCCTGCCCCTAGCCGCCATACCCTTATCGCACCACGGTGGACTACCTGAGGCTGGCTGGGGAGATCATCACGCTCTTCACCGGGGTCCTGTTCTTCTTCACCAATGTGAGTGCCGGCCCCCAAACCCGCCGAGCCTGCCCATCCTCCGCCTCCCCTTCCTCCACCTCTTTTAGCTCCCCGCTCCTCCTCTCTCTTCCTCCTCCTCCCCTTCCTCCTTTTATATTTTCCCTTCTCTTCTTTTGCCTCCTCCTCCAACCCTGTGCTCTCCTTCTCTGCTTTCCTCCTTTCCCAACAGATGAGCCCATTGTCTTTTCTCTGTACATCAGTCTGCCTCCCTCTGCCCTCTCCCCTCCTCCTCCTCCTCCTCTCTGCACTCCTGCGGGCTCCTCTCTCACCTGCCTCTTCCAACCTCCAGATCAAAGACCTGTTCATGAAGAAGTGCCCGGGGGTGAATTCTCTCTTCATTGATGGCTCCTTCCAGCTACTCTAGTAAGTAGAGGTCCCAGGCTGGCAGCTCCTGGGTGAGGAAGGTGGGGCTGAGCCCGGGCATCATCCACATGGGGATGGGGGTGTGTGACTCTATTAGGAGTGAATTCACCCAGCCTGGACATCTGTAGCCCCAAATCAGGACCAGGCCAGTCAGTGTTAAACAATAGGGTCTTCTGATTCAAGCAAGATTCCAGTTGCTAGAGAGTTACCATATACACCACGGATAGAAAGAATTTTAACCTCTTATACTGGTAATTGATTGCTAATGTCTGCCTGGAGTGCTCTGTTGAGAAGAGTCTTAAGGCTGGGTCCGTGGTGAGTGGGAAAGAGTGCTGCGATTGATTAATGATGTCTGCCTCGGGCACAGGATTAGTTACTGCAAGTGTGCTAGTCTTGTCTCTTTCCCGTAGTTAGAGAACAATGAAATTCACTTAGCCACAAAATCTCCACCAAACACCACTGACTCTTTCTGTAGCAGTTCCAAAGGGCGTCCCTTTGGGCTCTTGCAGGGCCTCAGGGCCATTACACATGGTCATTGTCAGTTAACAGCGTTCTGGTTAGCAGAATGCTGGGGAACCTGGGGAATCCACTTTTTTCCCGTTGTGGGTTTCTAGAGGGTATTGGGATTGGTACCCTGGAGGGCTTCGGGCGTGTCTCCCCCTTCAGGGCCTCACTGTCCCTTCTCCCCTCTGGCCCCTCTCGTGGTCTCTGCTGCCCGCAGCTTCATCTACTCCGTGCTGGTGATTGTCTCTGCGGCCCTCTACCTGGCGGGGATCGAGGCTTACCTGGCCGTCATGGTCTTTGCCTTGGTCCTGGGCTGGATGAACGCCCTGTACTTCACGCGTGGGCTGAAACTCACGGGGACTTACAGCATCATGATCCAGAAGGTATGGAGTAAGGCCTCTCTGAACTGTGTGCTCCAGAGGGAGCCACACACACCAGTCTTACACGTACAGACCATGCCCGTGGACCTGAGGCTGCGGGGTGCTGGGGGGCAGCGGGTAGGGCGTGGGCAGCGGCTGGGCCAGGGTGCAGTTGGGAAAAGGATTTTGGATGGAGGCTTAGGGAAAGCGAATGTGTCTCACCTTTGCCTCTGTCATCCCTCTGGGGCCTTTAGATCCTCTTCAAAGACCTGTTCCGCTTCCTGCTAGTCTACTTGCTGTTCATGATCGGCTACGCTTCAGGTGAGCTCTGGGTGCAGGGCCTGGTGGGTGAACTTGGGCCAGCACAGCAGCCACGATGCGTGGGGGAAGACGACCGGCGTATGTTGAGTTCCCACTGCGTGCAGGGCACGGGGCTAAGTCCTTGCCCATCTCTGCCTCTTTTTTTTTTCTTTATTGATTTTTAGAGAAAGAGGAAGGGAGAGGGAGAGAGAGAGAGAAACATCGATGAGAGAGAACATCAATTGACCGCCTCCTGCCTCTTAATTCTCCCATCAAGTCTGGAACGTAAGTGCCTTTGTTGTCTCCTTTTACAGATAAGGAGACCGAGGCTTAGAAAAATCAAAGAGCTTGCCCAAGTTCAAAAGCCAGGAAATGGTAAAACTGCCATATTAACTATTATTGCAAAGAAGCCACCTAAAGCTTAGCGGCTTAAAACGACCACCATGTGTTTATTGCTCCCAAGCCCATGGGTTGGCTAGGTGGTTGTGCTGAGCCAGACCAGATTTGGTTAATTTGTTGTTGTTAATCCTCACCTGAGGATACTTTTCCATTGATTTTTAAATAGAGTGGAAGGGAGGGAAGGAAGGAGGGGGGGAGAGAGGGAGAGAGAGGGAGAGAGAGAGGGAGAGAGAGAGGGAGAGAGGGGGGGAGAGAGAGAGAGAGAGAGAGAGAGAGAGAGAAACATTGATGTGAGAGAGACACATTGATTGATTGGTTGATTGATTGATTGCCTCCTGCACAACCCCTACCAAGGCCCAAGGCCAGGGATCAAACCTGTAACTCGGGTGCTCTCCCTTGACCAGGAATCGAACCCTCAACCCTTTGGTCCCCAGGCCGACACTCTATCTGCTGAGCCAAACCGGACAGGACAAGATTTAGCCAGTCTTGACAGGCTCCTGTGTCTGGGCCCAGTGGGCAGCTGGCTGTCATCTGCCTGGTCTGGCTAGGATGGCATGGGGGGGGGGGGCTGCTCTCTTCCCCATGGCCACTCATCCAGCCCGCTAGCTGGGGCTTGGTCGCAGGGGTCCGAGGGGTCTCAGAATGTGAGTGGAAGTGTTCAAGGTCACTCCCTGGCACAGCATCACTTCTGCCTCCCTCTGCTGGCCAAAGCAAGCCCCAAGGCCAGCCTTGGTTCAGAGGGTGGGGAAACCGACCAAACCTCTTGCCAGAAGGAGCTCCAAAAGCCACACTGAAGGGGCGTGGACACGGGGGAGAGTGAGTTTTAACAACCATCCATCAGCCCAGGTCTTTTTTAAAGCTCAATACTGGCTCCCTCCAATATGTTTTTTCCATGATGTCATGATGCCATGCGACCTCATTGGCACAGGCTACGGGGGAAGGGTCAGGGATGGGGAAACTGACCAAGACATTGGGCTGGTCCCTCAGGGGTGGGTGACCTACCATTCAATGCCCAGCATCCAAAAGGGGTGGCCAACTCAGGCTTCACCTGGCCACATTGGCACTTGAGGGGGTTGGTCTGGGGACCAGTACTGGAAAGGGAGTCTGATGGTGGTGGTGTTTTAACCCACTTCATGGCGAGGCTCTAGGTGGGTTATTTTGGGGAACCAGAACTTAGCTGGGGAGAGAGGGACAGGGTGCAACTGCTAGAAAGAACTAGACAGTATCAGGGGTTCCACAGTGGTTTGGGGTTCAGGGCAAGTCCAGCCCCACTGCAGTCCTAAGTATAGAAACCGAGGCAGAAGCTTAGCAGTTAAAGCAGCAGCTCAGCGGTCAGCTTGGTCCCAGGGCTTCTCCCGCTGCCGGACACTAGATCCCTTGCCTGAGGCTGATGTAACACGAACATGACATGTGCTCCTATCCTCCACTTTTGTGCCCATGGCAGACATTGCTAATGGATCGCAGAATGGTTTTTCTGATGAATCCAGACAGGGTCTCAGAATCTTTCTCAACACATTTCAGGAGCCACTACACAACTGAATCGCATTCACCTCTGAGCTGAAACCCTATTCCTGTAATCCCAGGGTGAAGGCACCACGGCAGTCCATGCCCCACTGACTGAAGGGGCTCAGTCCCCCATGCTCCCTGCCCTGGGTGCTGGAGGGACAGTGGTTACTGCTAAACTGTGTTGAAAGGGACTGTGATGCTTCGTCTGGGCTTATTGGGAAGGGATGAGCACCATGATCAGTTTGAGGTGTCTGGAGGGGGTCAGGGCTGTAGTGAGCATGGTTTCTGGGACAGTCAGAACTAGTACCTGGTTTCGGCTCCTACCCTTCTGGGCAGACAACAGGAACATGAGAGCGTCGGCCTCCGGGATGCGGGCATTCCAGGCTCCCCAGACCCCTAGGAACGTTGGCTAGGTTAGGGCTTCTCAGCCGTGGCGCCGTTGACATCTGTGGCCAGATAATTCTCAATGGCAGGCTGTCCTGTGCGTGGTGGGAGGTTTAGCAGCACCCCTGGGCTCTGCTGAGTACGTGCCAGTAGCACCCCCTCCAGTTGTGACAACCAAACACGTGTCTCAAGACTTTACCAGATGTTCCCCTGGGGGGACACTGCCCCAGGCTGAGAACCACGGACTAGGTCCTGGGAACCTCTTCCTTGTCAGCAAGTTTGTGGGCAGGGCAAGGCCTTTGGATTCGGGAAAACCCAGGTTCGACCCGTGGCTTGGCTTACGTGCTGGGGAACCGTGGGCCTGTGCTGTGTCACCGAGCCTCAGCTTTGCTCTCCATCGGATGGGAATGATTCTCCCCCCTCCTCGGTCACACTCAGTGAATGCCACCCTGTCCCTCCCACAGCCCTGGTATCCCTACTGAACCCGTGCGCCAACATGAAGGCGTGCGACGAGGACCACACCAACTGCACGGCGCCCACGTACCCCTCGTGCCGCGACAGCGACACTTTCAGCACCTTCCTCCTGGACCTCTTCAAGCTGACCATCGGCATGGGCGACCTGGAGATGCTGAGCAGCACCAAGTACCCTGTGGTGTTCATCATCCTGCTGGTCACCTACATCATCCTCACCTTCGTGCTGCTCCTCAACATGCTCATCGCCCTCATGGGGGAGACGGTGGGCCAGGTCTCCAAGGAGAGCAAGCACATCTGGAAGCTGCAGGTGAGCCCCAGGACGCCCGCCCCGCCCCGCCCGCCACCTTCTCCTTCCGCGATGGGGACCTCCGACCCGCCTCCTCCCGGCCTTCCGCTCCATGGGGACCTCCGACCCGCCTCCTCCCGGCCTTCCGCTCCTGGCAGGCCGTTATCTCCTGCCTCCACCTCTCTGTCTGCAAAATGGGCATCCAAGGCTGCTGCCCACTGCCCAGAGCCGCCTACTGCGTTTCCAGTGGCCTCTCGCCTGCCCGCCAGCGGTGGTCTCAGATCCACCTTGTGGCCCGGTTCACAGGACCTAGCCAGCCTCACCTGGCACCACTGAGTAGCTCTGGCACAGGAAATGCTGAGCTTGGGCATTGCAGCAGGGCCCGCGCTGAGCCCAGGGGCGGCTTGCAGGCTCCACCGCCCCGGGGCGCGCTCGGTCAGTGGGAAGACAATGTGGATACAGCTTCACTGGGGGGAGGGCGGCTGGGGTAGGGGGCGCTGCTCTGCTTCCCAGAGGTTTCTGTGCAATCCTAGGAAGCAGAGGCCCTAGGGGTCACAGCCTGCCTGGGTCACCACAGGTCACGAAACTTGGTTTTCACAGTAAACTGCCTTTCCCGGGCCCAGGCCTGTGGCATCCACGTTTCCCTTCACTCCGTGCATTTTAAGGAGATGCCGCAGTGATAGAGAGAAACCCCAAGGTCATCCTCCGCAGGCTGGTCTCCAGGAAACGTCAGACCTGTTATGAACCTTTATCCATACTGCTTCCTTCCCCGGCCTCAGTTTCCCCGCCGGGTGTAACTCAGAATATGCAAAGTGGCAGCCCATGGATTGGATTTGACCAGCAAAGATTTATATTTCTCTGTATCGCCATTTTAAAAAATTTAATGCAAAATTTAAAAATGAAGAGATTTCATATAAAAATCCAGGTTTCTGCCCTGGCCGGTTTGGCTCAGCGGTTAGAGCGTCGGCCTGCGGTCCGGAGAGACCCGGGTTCGGTTCCCGCTGAGGGCATGTACCTCAGTTGCAGTTTGTCCCCGGCCCTGGTTGGGTCGTGCGGGTGGTAACCGCTCATGTGTCCCTTTCACATCGATGTTTCTCTCTTTCTCTTCCTCCCACTCTATCTGAACAAAAAATGGAAAAATGTCCTTGGGTGAGGATAAAAAAAACCCAAAAAACAGGTTTCTGGCCTTTCTTGAAATGTTGGCAGCTTGGCGAGCTGGGCCACCTCCCTGCCTGGCGGTGCTCAAGTGGATGGGAATTAGTTGTGCTCCCTGGTCTGCCCCTACCCTTCCCTAGTGCCTCCCGACACTGAGTGGCCACAGCTGTGCATGAGGCCTGGGGCTGGGGCTGCGGGCTTGCTGCATCTGATCCTGCTTCACTCATCTATTCTGCTGGGCCCCTGTGAGTACTCGAGTTGATGTAACTGTTTCCAGGGTCAGTGGGAGCTGGAAAACCTATTTCTCTGTCCACCCCAGCCTGTCGGCATTTCTGCCATTAGGGCAGTGGGCTCGGGTTGGGAGAGGCTCACCCAGGCCTGGCCGCCCTCCCTCCCTGCAGTGGGCCACCACCATCCTGGACATCGAGCGCTCCTTCCCCGTGTTCCTGAGGAAGGCCTTCCGCTCCGGCGAAATGGTGACCGTGGGCAAGAGCTCGGACGGCACCCCAGACCGCAGGTGGTGCTTCAGGTGAGGTGGGGAGCGTGGGGTGGAACCGTCCCTCAGGATCGGGCCCCCTTCCATTTTCCACCCATGGCGACGTCTCGAGCCACTGAGGCCACAAAGGTCCCGACCACAGTTCTGTTCTGCTGGTGACTGGGCAGGTTGGTTCACGTCTCAGCCTTGGTTTCTTCATCTGTGAAATGGGGACAGTGGTAATCCCACCCTGAAGGCCAGCTGTGCGGATTGGACGGGTTAGTTAGTGTATGAGGCAGAGCTGGCCCAAGGCACTCTGGGCCACCCACACGGCAGCGGGGTTACTGCTCCTCTGTCCCTTACTGGGGGAGGCAGAGACTTGGAAGTAGTGTTCATCTCAGGGCATCACCTCGGTTGATAAAACGACCGGGTGGCTTCAGTGCATCGGCCGGAAGGGGAGTCAGCAGCTTCCAGGGCTTGGGATGTTACCCAGAGGCCCAGGGAATGCCAGCTTCTGAGGGGAACCCCCGGCCAATCTTTTCTCTTAGACAGAATCACTCTGCACAGTGATGGGCAGCACAGAGTGCCAGTCATGCTTGGAGTCGGGCCAAGTCAGTTTCCTCATTTGTGAAGTGGGGACACTAATAGCACCCAGCTTATAGGCCAGCCAGTCAGTCCTGTTCAATTTGAACCCCAAATTCAAACCCCGACTAATTTATCAGCTTTGTGACCTTGGGCAGTTAAACAAGCCTCAGTTCCCTCATCTGTAAAATGGGAACAGCGAATGTATCTTCCTTGCTTGACACATAGCAGCAGTTGCTCAAGAAATAGAGGTTGAATAAAAATAAAAATAATTTTAGCCTTGACCAGTTTGGCTCAGTGGTTAGAGCGTCAGCCTGTGGACTGATGAGTTGCGGGTTTGGTTTCGGTCAAGGGCACGTACCTCGGTTGCTGTTCCTTCCCGGCCCTGGTTCCCCTCCCCTGTGGGAGGCAACCAGTTGATGTGACTCTATCACATTGATGTTTCTCTCTGTCTTTCTCTTTCTCTTTCTCTCTCACTCTATCTAATAATAAGTAGAAAAATATCCTCAGGTGAGAAAAATAAATAAAAATAAAAATAATTTTTAAAAGGATAAATTACATTGAGCCAATTTGGGCTTAAGAGGCTGTAACCTGACTTTCTGAGGGTGTCCCAAAAATAAGAGGTGAGAGTATTAAGAAGGAAGGTGTCCACCTGCAGATGGGTGGATAAGCCTAAAGTGGTCCATCCATACAGTGGAATATTACTTGGCCATGAAAAGGAATGAAGTCCTGATACCTGCTACCACATGGCTGAACTTCAAAACCATTATGCTAAGTGAAAGCAGCCAGACCCAAAAGGCCACATAGTTTATGATTTCCACTTATATGAAATGTGCAGAATACGTAAATTCATAGAGGCGGAAAGTAGAATAGAGGTAACCGGGGCTGGCGGAGGGGGAGTGGGTACAGAATCTCTGTTTGGGGTGGTTAAAAAAAAACCTGGAATTAGTGTGTGGTGATGGTTGTACAACCTTGGAAATATATTTAATGCACTGACTTGTATACTTATAAATAGTTAAAATGGCGAATTTCATGTTATCTACATTCCACCGGAATAAAAATGAGGAGGAGGGAGTGCTGGGGAGGCTGGAGCTGGGAGGCTGCCTTGGGGTGGGGAAGAGGGGCTGTCTGGGTGACCCCCCCCCCCGTGGAACCTGGCAGAGGCCTCGGGACCCCTGACCTTTCTGTGCTGTGGCCCTGCCAGGGTGGACGAGGTGAACTGGTCCCACTGGAACCAGAACTTGGGCATCATTAACGAGGACCCAGGCAAGAACGAGAACTACCAGTATTACGGCTTCTCGCACACTGTGGGCCGCCTCCGGAGGGGTGAGTGACACGTTGGGAGCGGGGGACGGGGGACGGGGCGGGGGGTCCGGAAGGCAGACTCAAGGGCGTAGAGGGGGAGCCCTGGGCCAGTCTCATCACTCGTTGGCTTTGAGCCATCCTGTCCCCTTTCTGAGACTCAGTGTTGCTGTCTGTGGGTGGGAGGGTTGGATGAGCTGACCGCTGTTTCTCTTGCTGCTTGTGAATCCCTGGGGCACCTCATTTCCGCCAAGTGTATGAGATGCAGTGGGGAGGGCAGGACGCTCGGGCATCTGACTGGCTTGCAGTCTGACTGTCCCATTTACTCCTGTGTGCTCCTGGGCAAGCACCTTGACCTCCCAGAGCCCCTGTTTCCACCTCTGAAAAATGGGGATAATAAGACCTCCCCCTTTCGGTCACTGGGGGGTGCCGGGTACACAGTAGGTGCTTCATATATGCACGTGTAGTCTCTACCAACCCTCGCTTCACCATGCCCTCTCCAGATCGCTGGTCCTCGGTGGTGCCGCGCGTGGTAGAACTGAACAAAAACTCGAACCCAGATGAGGTGGTGGTGCCTCTGGACAACATGGGGAACCCCGGCTGCGACGGCCACCAGCAGGGCTACCCCCCCAAATGGAGGACTGACGACGCACCCCTCTAGGGGCAGCAGGCTGGGGCACAGTCTCCAGCCTGGAGCCCACTGCAACCCCTCCGCCCACCCATTTCTAGTCCACCTGCATTTCAGCCACAAACTCTGTCAACCTCAGAGGTGAGGGCCAGGCTGAAATGCCGGGATGGCCCTAGGACCCTCTGGTCCCCAGGCTCCTGCCCCCAGCTCTGCCCCCCACCTGGGCACAGGGCTCCTGGATGTCTGTCTCACTCCCATGGAGTCACATAAGCCAAAGCCAGGCCTTTCCCCCTGAAGAGCCCCCCCTGCCTCTCCATTATTTATTCACTCTGCTCTCAGGAAAGCAGCATGACCCCGCCCCCGCGGAACCTGGCAGAGGCCTCAGGACCCGCTCCTGGTGCGCCACGCGGGCCCAGCCCCTGCCCACAGCACCAGCTGCAGCGAGGTGGCCTCGCGACAGGACCTCGGGGTGGGGCTGCACCTCCTGGGTGTTCCGTCGAGGGTCTGGGGTCTGTTGGTGCTCAATAAATGTTCAGTCTCTGATGGCGGGCACGGTGGTGGGGCAGGGGTAGCAGGCAGGGAAGTGGGGGAGCTAAGAACTGCCTGTGGGGGGGTGGGGATGAGGGCGGACATGGCCAAGGTGGTGGTGAGGGGGATGGGTGGGTGCTGGTCAGGAAGCGGAGAGTTTGTTGCCGGAGACACGGGGTGACTGGAGTGGTGATGGGGAAGGTAGAGATGAAGAAAATGGGGAGGAGAGAATACTGGTGGGCAGAGCTATGTGATGGGCAGTGATGCTGCGGGGAAGTGATGAGGATGAGCAGTGCTGGGGGAGTACCCGGGGGGTGATGAGGATGAGCAGTGCTGGGGGAGTACCCGGGGAGTGATGAGGATGAGCAGTGCTGGGGGAGTACCAGGGGAGTGATGAGGATGAGCAGTGCTGGGGGAGTACCCGGGGAGTGATGAGGATGAGCAGTGCTGGGGGACTACCCGGGGAGTGATGAGGATGAGCAGTGCTGGGGGAGTACCCGGGGAGTGATGAGGATGAGCAGTGCTGGGGGAGTACCAGGGGAGTGATGAGGATGAGCAGTGCTGGGGGGAGGATGAGGATGAGCAGTGCTGGGGGGAGTGATGAGGATGAGCAGTGCTGGGGGGAGTGATGAGGATGAGCAGTGCTGGGGGAGTACCAGGGGAGTGATGAGGATGAGCAGTGCTGGGGGAGTACCCGGGGAGTGATGAGGATGAGCAGTGCTGGGGGGAGTGATGAGGATGAGCAGTGCTGGGGGGAGTGATGAGGATGAGCAGTGCTGGGGGGAGTGATGAGGATGAGCAGTGCTGGGGGGAGTGATGAGGATGAGCAGTGCTGGGGGAGTACCCGGGGGGTGATGAGGATGAGCAGTGCTGGGGGAGTACCCAGGGAGTGATGAGGATGAGCAGTGCTGGGGGGAGTACCCGGGGAGTGATGAGGATGAGCAGTGCTGGGGGAGTACCCGGGGAGTGATGAGGATGAGCAGTGCTGGGGGGAGGATGAGGATGAGCAGTGCTGGGGGGAGTACCCGGGGAGTGATGAGGATCAGCAGTGCTGGGGGGAGTGATGAGGATGAGCAGTGCTGGGGGAGTACCAGGGGAGTGATGAGGATGAGCAGTGCTGGGGGGAGTGATGAGGATGAGCAGTGCTGGGGGAGTACCAGGGGAGTGATGAGGATGAGCAGTGCTGGGGGGAGTGATGAGGATGAGCAGTGCTGGGGGAGTACCAGGGGAGTGATGAGGATGAGCAGTGCTGGGGGAGTACCAGGGGAGTGATGAGGATGAGCAGTGCTGGGGGGAGGATGAGGATGAGCAGTGCTGGGGGGAGTACCCGGGGAGTGATGAGGATGAGCAGTGCTGGGGGGAGTGATGAGGATGAGCAGTGCTGGGGGGAGTGATGAGGATGAGCAGTGCTGGGGGGAGTGATGAGGATGAGCAGTGCTGGGGGGAGTGATGAGGATGAGCAGTGCTGGGGGAGTACCAGGGGAGTGATGAGGATGAGCAGTGCTGGGGGGAGTACCCGGGGGAATGATGAGGATGAGCAGTGCTGGGGTGAGGATGAGGATGAGCAGTGCTGGGGGAACAGTAGGTAGAGGCAGGTAGAGCCAGCTGAGGGAAGATGCTGGTGGGGAGACAATACATCTGGTCAGGGGAGCCAAGTGCCCGGAGCAGATTGTGATGCTGGTGGTGGGAGGGTGATGCTCCCAGAGGACAGTGACGCTGGTGGGGGAGGGTGATGATCCCAGAGGACAGTGACGCTGGTGGGGGAGGGTGATGATCCCAGAGGACAGTGACGCTGGCCAGGGGTCTGCCCTGCTGGTGGGGGAGGAGAGCTGCTGGGTAGGGGTGCAGCAGGGTGGAGGTGACAGCCATGGAGATGGGTGAGCCCCCCGAGTGTCAGAGGCGGGAGAGGATGCGGTGGCCTTGGTGAGGACACGGTGGCTCCTGGAGTGGGGAGTGCTGGGGGTTCTGGGGGGGATGGGACCCTGCTTCTCTCCCCAGGGGCCCCCCTGCCACCAGGGCTGGGAACGTGAGTTGGAGCTGATGGCTGACCCACTTCCCTTCCGCGGGCAGCCCCTCACTGCGGGGTCCCTCACCACTGCTGATGGAGCCCCAGCCTGGGCAGTGCCAACCTCCTGGCATGAGAGGCTCCCCGCAAACACCCCATCTTGCTGCTCCACCCTGGAGCCGGGACCTGCAGTCTTCCTGTGACCTCCCCGTTCCCCAGGCCTGGCTCGGGCTGGGGCCTTGGTCCTCTCTGAAGCTTCAGCTGAGAAGACCAGGGGTCTCAGGACCTGGCCAGGGGCAGAAGCCGTGGGAAAAGCCCAGGGCGTGGGTCACCTGACCCCTTTGAGCCTCTGTGTCCCCATCATTGGAAGGATGAGAATCAGTGACATGAAGGATGTGAGTCTCTTCAGCTCTTTGAGAAGAAAGGGGCACTAACTATTATCAAGGTGCTGGGTGACTCCGTCCCTCCCAAGGACCCGTTCTGTCTCCTCTGTTGCCTTCTCCTGGTCCACGATGCCCAGCCTGTCCCAGGGCTGCTTCCTCACTAACCCGGCACACAGGGTCTGCATCCCGTGTTCTCAAGGGGCAGGGCGAGTTGTCCCAAGAGCTATTCCGGTTTGCTAGGGTCACATGTCCTGTCTGAGCCAACCCCATGGCCAGGGCATGGGGGCCCTTCCTGGCTGAGCCAAGCTTCTGGGTAACTGTGGGGAGGTCATAAACTCAGCCTGTTTCCTCACCTGTAAAATAGATCACAGCCCTTGTGAAGATCAAGTGCTTCCCCGGGCTTTCCAAAGAGGAGGGGATCGTGGTGCGGTGTCTGTCCTACAGTCGTGTTCGGGGAAATGTACACTGGTTTAAAGGGAAAAGACTATTCATTCCCTCAGTGGGAAGTCTCAGGAAGGGCGAATTCGGTCTCCGTGATTCGTTAAGGGTCCTGCCATTCATTTATTCCATTGTCGGGCACTGTGCTAGGCACCGCCCACCAGGTGTGCCGGCTTTCCTCAGGGACACAAGTTGTCACCACTGTTCCAGGCATCAGACCCAGATGCAGCCACTTCCAGAGGAAGAAGGACAGATGGGTCTATGTCTTCTTTTTTCTTTATTGATTTGAGAGAGAGAGACAAAGGAGAGGGAGAGAGAGATAGAGAACATCGACTGGCCGCCTCCTGCATGCCCCCAACTGGGGATCGGACCCACACCCTGGGCATGTGCCCTGACCAGGAATTGAACCGGCGACCTCTTGGTGCAGGGGTCGACGCTCAACCACTGAGTCACACCGGCCGGGCAGGTCTATGTCTCTTTATGAGGGAGGAAACTGTTCCCCGAGTCCCCCAGCTTACCCCCGTCTTGTGTCATTAGTCAGGTTGGTGTCCCATGCCCCAAGCTCCAGCCAACCAGCAGGCCGGGGGCAGCAGGGGGCTGAAGAGGCAGAGGAAGGCGGTTCCCCCAGCCAGGTCTGGGGGTCTGGGGGTCTGTGGGAAAGGAGAATGGAGGAATCAATATTACCTTCCACCCTCCACGTCGACTTTCCAGGGGGAGTGGACAAAATGGTCACCGAGAATGGCTGTGGGTCATTCTGTGAAGAGGTCGCTCACTTCCCTGGGGGATATGGGATGGGCCTGCCCACAAAATCAAAACACCCTCTCAACTCAAAGGCACGCCACAACTGACTAAGGTGTTCACTAAATTCATTCATTAAAACAACAACGATAAATAATTGTAGGAGTATATGAATTTTCCTCTGAGTACATTTTTATCTAAATACATAATAACCTTTTTTTCCCTGGCTAGCTAGCTCAGTTGGTTGGAGCATCGTCCCACTATGCTGAGGGTGCAGGTTCGATCCCTGGTCAGGGCACATATAAGAGTCAACCAATGGCCCTGGCCAGTTTGGCTCAGTGGTTGACTGTCGGCCTGCAGACCAGAGTCCCGGGTTCGGTTCCCGCTAGGGGCACGTACCACACACACACACAAAAAAGTCACCCAATGAATGCATAAATACACGAAACAGCAAATCAATGTTTCTCTCTCTCCTTTCCTCTCTCTCTAAAACCAATCAATAAAAACTTTTCAACACATAGTTAACTTTTTCAATTGTGATTTTCTAAATAGTTGATCGTTTGGGTATTGATTCTTTGTAACTCAAAAGCTGATTTGGAGTGATTTAAAGTGTTTTCAAGTCGTCGAGATTTTCGGTTTGTTCCAGTAAGATTTTAAAGAGGACCTTTCCCAGTGTCCTTCACAGGATGGGACACACACTGGTGGTATGTCACAATATTTCCAGGGGACACATTGACTACAGAAGCACTTAGAGGAAGACATACCCCCTTTTTAGTTCTCTGTCCCTCCTGATCATGGCAAGGTCTCAGTCGGATGGTTCTGTGTTTTGAGTGCCTTCCCAGGGACAGAATGGGGAGGGCAGTTCCCGAGAAAAGCTGGGAAGTTGATGCCTGGGCCAGGGGCCCCAGTTCCCGACTCTCCCCATTATCCGTGCCTTTGCCCTAAAACTTGGTGGTGTCTTCCCACTGTGGGCAAAGTGTAATGTCACACCCCTGGGCTTGACCATGTGACTTGTTTTTAACCAAT